TTCAAAGACTTCATGGGTAACATGTAATAGTCCCATGATTAGAAATATAATCTCAAATGGGATTAGGAACTCAATACTTAAGACTTAGAACTTGAAGATATTTCTCCTCTCAAAGGTACTCAACTGATGGAGATCATGCAGAAGTTATAAGCATGAGCGACTCAACTCAAGGGTTAAAATATCAATAAGGAACTCATGTATACGACTCTTCTCATTCTCATACTTACTTACTCAAAACTTAACTCAAATCGATGATGGATCTCAAAGGATTCACAATTGAACTCAAAGGCTTCCTTGAACTCTACTCTTAATTTTCTCTTGAATGTGAATTATGAATTCAAGAGTTATGGTTCATGATATTAAAGATCTCATGATGACAAAGTAGACTCATGAATACATTCTCCTCACTCTCATGCTCACTTGCTTGAGTCTTTAAACAAGTTAATAGAAGTTGCAGAAGACTCTGCAAAAGGACTCAAAGGACTTTCTTAGAATGTTCGAATGAATTCTCAAAAACTTAACTCTTAACTCTACCTTGAATTTGAATTATGAATTCAAGGTTATGATCATGTTATGAATGATTTCTAGGTGCTTAGAAGTAGCTTAGAATCGAAAAAGAGTGAAGGTACCCTTCGAAAGAACTCAAACGGCGCAACCGATTGCATACTGGATGGGGCAGGCGACCCTGGGGCTATGAGTGGCGCGGGGTGCCAGCCCCTAAACTTCAGAGCATACTTTGGGGGGCTCTGGCTGGCGCGACACACCCAGGCCCCAACGCAGAAGACTCAACGAAATTCTTTGCTCGTTTTCTCACCCTAATTCACCTAGAATCGAACGGTTTCTTCCCCAGTCACTTGGATTCGATTACTTAAAATAAGTACACTCTAATATACTCAGTACAATCCTCAAAACAATTACTTTAATATCAAGAAATCATCAAAACCCCAACAAAACAAGATTTAGAATGAACTTCAAGAACACCTGTCAAGAACTTATCAAGAACTTTAATCTTTCTACTTTAAGAATGAAATTGCGCTGAAAATAACATGATTGGCGTGCGGGTGAACAAACCCAACACTATGGAAACTTACATACTTCTTTGGGATTAAACCCATGGCGAAAATCGGTAAGAGAACTCAAGAACTTCGACGAACACCTTGATCCTTTCCTCTTTCTCCTTTTTTCTCTTCTTTTCTCTTCTTGAACTCTCAACTAAAATCCTAGGCGTATATTAGGACTATAAAACTTAACCCAATAGGATTGGACCCCTAAAACATTACTAAAAATGAATTAAATCTAATTGGGTAAGGAATAGACCAAAATACCTCTTACTATTTTAGGGTAACTTTCCTTACTGGACAACCTGACTTCAAAAGGGCATATCTCACTCATCCGAACTCAAAACTTAATAAACTCGGCAGCGTTGGAAAGATAATTCAAAGACCTTTCATTGTGTACCTTGGATCCCACCTAACTCATCTTCTACTGAGAGTTATGGTCGTTTGAAGTTGACCCAAAACTTTAAGGAGCTTAAGAATAACTTGAATGAACTCTATTTAGTTCTTCTTGAAACTCAAGGTGCTACATCTAGTGACCTTAACACTTAAGAAATTTTTAATTCCTTGGTAAAATCTCACTCACTACGAAGAATGGTTCGAGTCTTAGTTCAAAAAAAATTCTGGGGTGTTACACGTGATACATTGATATTCCTGAAAGAAGATATTTTGTTAGCCTTGAGCGAAAAATATGTTATTATAGGAGATTTCAACTAGACAAAATACGTTGTACACACGCAATTGCTGTTTGATACATGTAAAATTTCAACTAGACGAAATACCTTGTGCCATAATACATTACTGATTACAAAAATGGATACAATTCTAATTTGATACATGTGAATTAATGGATACAACATGATATAATTATAGCCAGTGTGTACTTAATTTTATGTATCAGGTACATGTGATTTTCTGAATTTTAAACGTATTAGTATTTGAATTACTTTCAATTTTTAATGTATCTATTATCCATTTTAATCAGTTCCGAAATTTGTTTTGGAAGAAGTTGTCTTACCAGTTAGGTACAAAGGAATTTCTGGACGACCAATGAAAAGAAGGAAAAAAATCTAGATGAAAAGCTAAGCACAAACACAAATTGTTGTGGACGTTATGGACAAGAAGGTCACAATAAAAAAACTTGTACTTTCTTTCCGAAAGATGTTTGATAATTTTTTTTTTGAACTATTATCTTTTAGATACATTAAGTTAAGATTAAAGCTCAATTCAATTTTTAGATTTTCCACTGTTATATCGACATACACTACAATTTACTGTTAGATGATGAATTTCTAATACAATAATTTGACATGTTAATATTTTCAACCTTGTGTACATTTCTGACTGATATTAATTTGTTCACAGTGAAAAATATATAAAAAATTGTGAATATGGTACTACACATTATGCTTCAGATGCACTGTTTATCTAATGTATCATTTTGTAATTGATAATAATATATCTGATGCAATATGATTGTGAAAAAGGTATTGTGTAAACTGTAATAAAATGTAGCTATGAACGTATCACAATAAATAAAAATCAAGGTTTCAAATAGATACATTGGATTTGTTAAGTGTCCAATGTATCAACAATTAAGTACAATTACTGTAAAATATGAATTTTGAGTGTGTATGCATGAATGAATCAACTGAATATTATGAGACTTTTGTATCCGGTTATATAAGACACAAGTATAAAAGAATAGATGCTAGAAATAACAATTGAATATATTAAAAATTAAAGTCAAAATAAACAAGTCTTTAGAGAACACTCTAAAACTTGAGTAGAAGTATCTTAAAACAATAAAAAAAAACACTCTAAAACTAGAGTTAATGTATCTTCAAACTCATAACACTCTAAAATCAGTCTATTCAACATTAACCAAATTTTTTTTAGTTGTTGGATCATCATTGTCATTAACATATCTTGTCTTAGCCTTTTCAGTACCATATTTCCATAATAAAGGTGCATATTGTTTATGGAGGTAATCGGATCTGAACTCATTGACTGAAATATGAATTTCATCACTAAGGAACTCAACAAACGCATCTACAAACAATTTGCAGTCCCTTCAAAACGAAGAATATAATGTATCTGATACACATTAAATAAGACAAGTTTTGACTAATACACCATTGAACATGATACTCATTAAACATGACACAAGATGTTTGTATCAGATACTTATTTAACTTGATATAATGTATATGATACATATTAAAGAAGACAATTTTTAACTGATACACAATTGAACATGATGCTCAATGAACATGACACACGATATTTGTATTAGCTATATAATGTATCTGAAACATGTTGAATAAGATAATTTTTATCAACGTTTTCAAGAACAAAAAAAAATCAAAAGATGAACAGAGGGTTAGAGACGATGAAAATAGTACCTAATCTAAGTTGAAATCGTTGAATGGAAAGAGACTTTTTTTTCCCCAACAAATTACATACCATACCACATGATAAAATAATGTATCAACTTATTTTGACTCAACACACCATAGACCATATCAAACACGAAAAAATCTTAAATAGATGAAGAACACATACTTTAGGTAATGTAGGTCGGGAAATTGTCGGTGTTGCTTTTCTCCCCCTTTTAGGGGGGGGGGGGGTTCAACATTGACTTTTGAAGATGAAGGAACTTCCTTGTTTGCCTTGTCAATATTCTGATTCTTCATTGCTAATGGGTCATGCAAAAGTTTAGATATGTTTTTAGCCCATTTATCATCATTAGAATCATATATTCGTCTAGTATTAGAAGAGTTTAGTTGAGTAATACCAATACTAAAAGAAGGATCCTAATCCATATATATGTAACAGGAAATAAAGAAGAAAAAATGAAATTGAAGAAGATGACTATGTAGGAGATGCACTATACATTGTTTGCCTTAAGCGAAAAATATGTAATTCTGGTAGATTTCAACTAGACGAGATACCTTGTGGACAAGAAGGATATATTACTCATGATACATTACTATTCCTAAAATATTTAGTAAATTGCTAAGTACTGTAGTCGTATCAGATACATTAGAGAAGTAAAGATTGTACGTAAAATGTTTAATTTTAGATCGATACATTACTGTGTGGTAGTTATTAAGTATCAGATACATGTAGTTTTAGTTTCCCAAAGAATGGATATGTATCATATACCTATTGTTGGATCTGATACACACTGCTCCAGTTATAAAACATTATGATTCATGTATTAAGATTATTATTGGGTAATATGTACATATACATCGCATTCTAAATTGGATAAGAATGAACAAATATTAAAGAGTGCAGATATATAATACATAACTGATTTGTTACTGTCGTATATAACTTTTTAAATTTGAATAAGATTGATGATACATTAAAGAACTTGATACATGTAAATGATACATTAGATAGTGTTTATATATCAACAACATTTATATTAAAGTGGGAAGCCAAGAAACGGAGAACATGCGAAAGTTGTCCATTTGGACCGTTGATCTGATAGATAAGGCTTTGTCTTGCTTTTGGAGCACTTGCTTGGCCATCCCCGAAGAAGATATCACCACAGTTGTCATTTGGCCCAACTTCAGACACATAATTAGGCCATGAAAATCGGCGAATTTAGATAGCGATTTACGAGAATAAAAAATGAGAAAGATTTGTAGAGTGAAATCAGAAAGTGATAAATATGGATTTGGAGAGTGAGAGTTATGTATCCGAAATTTTGGCTGTTGCACTCAAAATAAGGAATTTTGGAAAATTTTAGAAATAGTAGGAAATAATGAAAGTTATTAAAAAAAAATGTATATACATAATTTTTCCACATATTATTTACCAAAAATATTTGAAAACTTTGCCAAACACTAGCTAAATCAGTATTGTTATACTTGCAAAATGTCAATTACATTAATTTGATCAAATTTATCTTTTTTATATATGTCGCTTTTATTAGTACTTGAAATTGAAATGAAAAATAAGCTTTATTCCTCCTGGCCAATTCTTAGGAGAGAACTTTGAGCGGGGAAATGAAGTTGATTAGCATGAAGCAAGAGTGATCGAGCGAGTGGTAGATGATTAGGGTAGCCTAGATGGATGTATATTCATGGTTCCGACGAAGCCTCTCTAGAACTGCAAAGACCACCACCACCACCACAACTGTTACTGCTCAACCGGACGACGAACTACTCTACGGCGTCACTGACCAATTACTCGATTTTATCAAATCCTTCTCCATTGACACCTTTCGAAATTTCTCTCTCCCAGATGAGGACGATGGAGATGCACCCGAGAATGTACGGAAAGATCTATCCGATTGGCAACAGCGTCATGCTTTGCTTGTTCTCTCCAAACTCAAGGTCTTTATTATCTTTGATTTTATGCATTTTGCTCTTACCTTTTTTTTTTTTTTTTCCTTTTCTGTTCCCTTTAGGGTTTTTTTTTAGAAACTGACTTGAAGGAAGATTTAGGAATTGCATTCTGGATGTTGTAAAACTAGGGTTTCTATTGCTTGTCAATATGATTCATCCTTTGAGCTTGTTGAATTAGACTCACTTGGTTTAGTTTAGATTTTGACCCTTTCTCATAGCTTTGCTTGTTCTCTCCAAACTCAAGGTCTTTGCTTATCTTTCATTCTATGCCTTTTGCTCTTACCTTTTTTTTTTTTTCCCATTACTGTTCCCTTTAGGGATTTTTAGAAACTGACTTGAAGGAAGATTTAGGAATTGCGTTTTGGATGTTGTAAAACTAGGGTTCTTATTGCTTTTACAATATGATTCATCCTTTGAGTTTGTTGAATTAGACTCACTTGGTTTAGTTTAGATTTTGACCCTTTCTCATAGATTTCAAGAGGTACTGATGCTTGACTCTGTAAAATATGAAAATTATAGGTAAATACATACATATACAGACCACCTACTGCATTTTGAGGGGTAATTGTGTTTTTAATCATGCTAATGCATGCATTAAAAACCTTGCATTGCTAATACTATGGTTTGACATGTATTAGTTATACATGGAATTACACCAACTAGAGTGTATACATAGATTGAAAAAAGTGTATCAAACAAGATATTAATAATACACAAAGCTAGTGCATGTATTATTTTTTCTAATGCATCCTACCAAATGACCTTTAAATGTATTTCTAGTAGGGATTTCAACAACTCATATCAATTCCTATAAAAGTACATATCAGTAAGATTGAAATGAGAATGTCAGAAGAAACATAAGAAAGTGTATTTCTTTTTAGTATTAACCGAAAAGGAAAGATTTCCATGTGAAAAGGAAATAAGGGAGTATGCAGTTATGGAAAAGGCTTAGTTTTATACTGTAGTATGAGACAATACAAAGACCCTTAACCTGGTTTTCAGTTTATTTTGTTTACTAGAGTGACTAGACTAAATATCTCAGGCCAGGTTTTTACACTTGTTTTATTTCTATTTGAGATTTAGAATTATTAAGTGGTGGCTGCAAACCTATGGATATGTTTAATAGGGTCAAATTCACTACCAATTTTTTTTTTTTTGGATAAAGGTAATGTTAAAAGTTACCACCAATTTTTTGACTGAAAGATTGGATGTATGAGTTTGTACTCTTTTTATATAGATTTGGTTATCCTATCCACTTCAAACAACTTTTGAAGTTGAGTTAAGCCCATTATCTATTTTTGCTTACATGGTATAGAGTCAGACCCATAGTTGATATTATTAGATGCTTGAGGACCGAGGTATGTCAACGGTATTAGAATCTCACATTGGTTAAGTGTATAAGTTGTAGTCTCTTTATTGGTCTTAGGTATTCCTCACCACCTCTTTTGCAGTTAAGTTAGTCCCAATGTTCATTTTTTAACACCGAGCATGTTGTTTGGCATTAGCAAAGCTTCTTTCGTAGATAGGTTGATCGTTGATGTAGTAGGGAATTTCAGTCATCTCTTTAGAAGAGATGCCAACACCAATCTACTAGGCTAGCAACATTTCATATCTTGATAAAATGGTGGCATGTGAAGCTGCCAAATACATGTAACATTTTTTTTTGATGATCGTGGTGTCTGGGCTAGCTTTTGCGCAACATGACTAATTCCACGACATACCTATCACCTCCCACCAACAACTTGTACTAGGTAGCTCTGTCTACAAAGGCTAGGACAAATGAGAAGAATCACCTCGTGTTTTTTGTCTCCTTGTGATTTGAACCAGAGACCTCATGGTTCTTAACCACTTCATTGACCACTAGGCTACACCTTTGGGTGCCCAAGTACATGTCACTTAAACAACCAAAATATGAAGAAAAAGAAGATACTTTGACTTGTTTCTTTTTGTCTTTTTGTTGCACAATATAGGTGATCCTGCAGTCCTTCCACTAAGTAGTATCTTGAGTGGTGTTTGATTATTATATGCCTGTTTCTACCAGTTATTGGCTATATCTGAGAGACACATGTTAATTTCATCAGCTTGCATCTATTCTCTTCCTACTTCCTGTTACGCACCTTTGCATTACTGTTTCTCTCTGGAGATTTATTTTCTACTGTGAGCTTAACTTTTATTCATACATTTTCCAGTAGATGAAAATATATTATTTCTGTGTATTTAGTCATATTGGGTTACAGACCTGCATCAGTTTTATCAGTTGGCATTTAGTTGTGGTTGCTTGTCTTCACTCTTATCCATTATCTTCTTTAATCGGTTGTTCACTTCATTGCAACATTCAGGAACTCTCACAATTGAGGTTCAAATTATGTCCCCGTTTTTTAAAGGATCACCAATTTTGGACGATATATTTTGCTCTCGTTAAGGGTTTTGTTGCCAAGTAAGTTCCGTGTACTAACTTTGCAAATGCTGTTGTGCTTGTACTTAACGAAGAAGTTTAAGTTCAATTAATGTTGATGATCAGATATGAGCTACGTGCTATACAATTAGATAAGCTCAAACAGATGAGATTAGAAAGTGAAAATACACCAGATGTTGCTGCATGCGAAGTTGAGATGTCTGAAGCGAAGAAAACAACAGATCTATCGCCTACAATTTCTGAGGAGCACAATTAGTATATCCTTTGGATATGTCACTAGTTATCAGGTATATATTCATTTCTTCTTTCCTGAATCAGCCTATTGTGATTTCTTTTTTTGAAACTGGTAAGGTTGAATTCTTCAGCATTAAGGGTATGCTGGCTACCTCCAGAAAGGGATAATTACAGATTTCCCATCAAATCTATAATCTGGTCTATATCATCTATACAAAGCTGTTTACACCAAAAAAGTAGAGATACTATACAATTCCATTTAACTTTGTGGATGGAATTGGATCTATCTTCAAAACATCTTCCATTTCTTTCTTTCCAGACTGACCACCATACACATGATGGTATTAGCTTCCACCATCTCTTTTGACTCTTACTGCCTCCCCTCCTAATCCAGCAGCTCAACAGATCTGATGTATGTTCTGGCATTGTCCAGTTCATGCTTGTGATGTTGAGAAACAAGTTCCAAATTTGAGCAGTAAACTTACAATGCAGGAAGAGATGGTTATTTGTTTCCCCTGTCAAGTTGCACAAAAAACACCTAGG